AAATCCAACATCTAGATGTGCTGTTAGTTCACTAGAAAGGAAACTGTGCCCATCGCAATTTAGCTGTGCCAAATCAGCCAGGGTAAATGGGAAGTACAGTTCTATGTTCCCAGATTCAGCAGAGCACACTTAGAAAAGACAGTTTCAAGCAAAATTTCCAAAGACAGATGCAACTCCTCATTAGCAACCATGTGTTTCTCACCAGTACTCCCAAGATACTTTCAAATTAAATAGATTATGTTGAAATCTCTTATTCTGTGCCCAATTTTTCCATTACTTTCACATCTTCATAGAATAGCTCTGATTCCTGTAAAATCTCATGGCCTACAAAAATCCTTACAGCGAGATCTTTATGTAAATGCCTACTATTAAAACAAGACTGACCTCTGAAGTCAGGAAATCACAACATGTTTTCAAATGAAACCTAGTCCATACCAGGACAGTCCAAACAAAATATACCGAGACAGCACAGAAGTACAGAGGAAAATCAATCCTGTATACATTTGTCCATATAAATTGCAGCCCCTTACTTGTTGAGAAATACCTCTGGGTTTTTTAAATAATTCTTTAGTCATTCATAATCCCTTTGTTTATACTAATGTAGAATCATCATTTACTTATCTTTCAGATACTAAAACTTAGGGTAGATCTTTTTTTATGATGTAAAATAATAAAGCCCATGAAAAGTCAACTGTTAAATATACTTTTAGAACCAGGGCAATCTGAAGCTAGTCTTGGGCCTATTCGTTAGGAACACATGAGAAATGACTTCCTTTGGTAGTTAGGAGCTTTTCCATCACTGAATATCATGGAAAACATGAGTTACATGAGCACTTTGATATCATCCATAATTTCATTTAAGGGATCCGTGCCTTCTTTAACTGTAGGTAAAGCTGTATGTGCACAGAATTTTTCTACTGAGAGTCCACTGCTTCTTTTTTTTCTTTCTTTCTTTTGAAGTTAAGAACAAACAGTTAAATGATCTCCATGCATGAGTGATTTCAACCCAACTACACTGGGTTGGTGCTTTTCCCGAGCTCTCAGAATTATCTTCTCTTGAAGACCCTCAAGCTCAACAATATACTGTCATTAAGATCCCTGTTTAAGAGGCACTTAGGAACTCAAGAAACCATATTCACAGAGAATGAGCGCTGCAAATACAGAGAAAGAGCAAGGGAAATCACCTCAGGAAGCACCTTCATGTGCTATCTAGACTCTAAGAAATCACATTTTTTTTAAGTCTTTAATATAAAACAGGCTAGAGCAGTAGCACATATGCATGATGAGCTGATAGATCTTCCCTAAGAGGTACCTTCAACAATTTCAAAAATGAACATTAAAGGAAAATATGGAAAACAATTTTAAAATTGTATATAATTTAAATATTATTATAAATCTTAATCCTGAAATAAAATTTAAAATTCCAAGTGGATAATGAATTTTTTTTTACAGGGAATGAAGGTGTGCCTCAAAGAGTGGGCTTTAGCCATAAGTAAAAAAAAGCCAGGGAAGAACATGAGGCCCTGTACTAGTGAGAACTTACATACACAAAAACACAGCAAAATAATAATTGTTCCAATTTAGATCTACTTTGAAGCGAAGAACATGGATAAGACCCAGAATACTCTAGATATTAAAATAGATATTGGAAGAATGATAGCTTCTAGAGACAAAAAATTAAACTATTATTACTAGAAGATACCAATTGTCCTTTGTTGTTGTTATTCAGGTCCTAGGCCTTGAACTCAGGGACTGAGCACTGTTCCTTTTGCTGCTTTTTTTTGCTTAAGACTAACACTCTACCACTTAAACCGTAGCTCTACTTCTAGCTTTTTGTTTTTTCGGGTTTTTTTTTTTGGTCGGTCGTGGGGCCTGAACTCTGGGCCTGGGCGCTATCCCTCAGCTCTTCAGCTCAAGGCTAGCACTCTACCACTTGAGCGTCAGCCCCACTTCCGGCTTTTTCTGCTTATGTGGTGCTGAGGAATTGAACCCAGGGCCTCATGCATGCAAGGCAAGCACTCTACCACTGAGCCACCTTCACAGCCCACACTTCTGGCTTTTTTGGTGCTTAATTGGAGATAAGTCTCACAAGGTCCTACCCTAGGGTGGCTCTGAATGGTAATCCTAGATCTCAGCCTCCTGAGTAGATAGGATTACAGATCTGAGCCAGCTACCAGTTCCTGGAACTATTTGCATTATTAATATTAGTTTTGGCACCAGAAAACCGGAAGTGGCTCTATGGTTCAAGTGGTAGAGTGTTAGTCTTAAGCAAAAAAAAAAAAAAGAAGAAGAAGAAGAGCTGAGAGACCCAGGCATAGAGTTCAAGTCCCATGACTGACAAAAAAAAAAAAAAAAAAGAATGAGGTTTGGTAGGACCTACCAGCTATTACATTCAACCCTCTTTTCTGAATTCTGTTTTAATATATTCAATATCTGCAGTCCACAACAATAAAATTTTATTTCCTAGATCTTCAAAAACCTGACAAGTCAGAGAAAACCTTCTCTAAAACAACTACTTTAAATTAACCAGGTATTTGAAATTTTAGTTAGATTTTTCCAAGTAATTAACAAACTCATTATATAATTATGACAATTCCCTTCTTAAACACAAAAGATGGTCAACTTGAAGCATGTTTTATATAAAATCTGAATGCATTCACTAGCCTAAAATTTACAGATAATAGTAAGTACTGGAAAGTATTCTCACTACTAATTGTATTGTAATATAAAATAATTTCTAATTCTTTCATTATTTTTCTACTTTAATAAGTTGACACACTTCATCTCAATAGCCTTAGAAAACTAAGCGCATGCATTTATTTAGTTCATTAAAAGTATCTGTGGATTATATGTAGAAGAGTAGAGGAGAATAGATACTGTTTTTTTTGTTTGTTTTTGTCGGTTGTGGGGCTTGAACTCTGGGCTCGGGCACTGTCCCTCAGCTCTTCAGCTCAAGGCCAGCACTCAGGGTCACTTCCAGTTTTATTGCAGATAAGAGTTTCATGCATTTTTCTGCCCAGGCTGGCTTTGAATGATGATTCTCAGATCTCAGTCACCCAAGTAGCTAGCATTACAGGTGTAAGCCACCAGCGCCTAACTAGATACAGTATTTTCCTGAGATTAATTTTGTCTTTTGTGTTCTAACTAGTTTCAAACATTTTTCCAACAAAACTATCCCTGGGAAAATTCACAGGAGAGTCTTCAAAACAAATTATTTTCTTCTCCTTGAAGATCTTTCTAGCCATAGATTAATGTAATCACATAAAATTTGGAAGTTGGAAGATACCAGAGCATATAGCACTCTGGTGAAGGCAAATCACCTCACTGTTCAAGTCATTGCCATTCTGAATTTGTGTGGGATTATGAATCACACCAGTTTGTTAGATCTTGATAAGACAGAATAGTCAATGTGTTTCTGTCCCTTTGTGTGAATATGGGTGCATGAACCATCATGGCTCCTCAGCCTTGTTCTTACAACAGTGGGTGTCTATTACTACGTATGGCCATGAAAACCAGATGTACAATCATTAGCCAGTCAGTATGCCCACAATTCCATGTACAGTAAAATCCTCTTCTCACTGAAGAGCTTACTTAATTCACCTGGACTTACGAATGGTAACCAGTATCTCACAGACAGCAACCTGATTCATCCTTGTGAGTGGCAGTCCCTGCTTCTTTCCTAGGTGCCTCAGTCCTTCAGGGTTTTGGCTTTTCATTAGCAGAAAATGGAACACTTGAAGGCAAGAGCTTCCTGGTTTGCCCCTGCTGACACTGACAGGGTGCAGGTGAGTAGCAAGGCAGCTAATGTCCCCAGCAGGTGCTCAGAGGCCCTGGTGCCTCTCTGCACCCAGGCTCTCATGGGGCTGCAGCCTAGCATGTGACACCTCTTTCCCTCCCAAGGAAGCAGTCATTTGGGTGCCCTCCGAACACTGCAGATGGTCAACACTATTTGGACAAGTCAGTAAAATGGAGCCAAGAGACTTACCAGCTTAATTGTTTAAAAGCCATACACCCCCAAAAACAAAATCCTCACACTGCTAAAGCACAATAAAGAAAATAATCCTTTATACCCTCCTATATTAAGGAAACTGCACTAAGACATCACCTTTAGACAACCTTGAGTACCTAAAAATATTAGCCCATTCCAACTGAGGTTAAAGTGAGTCTTTTTCAAAGCTGGCAGAATGGAAGGAGAGGTTGATTACTATTCACCCAAGGTCATACACTAAGATCTTCAACCCCAAAGACCATATTCTCCCTCCCACCTTTGTGTTTTGGGCTGTCCTGTATCCTTCATATCTGAACAGTTTTTCCCATCAGTCCAGGACTTAGTATCACACAGGAAACACAAGCATTTCTACAGATGTGATCTACAAGCAAGGCTGTGCAGGCCTCCACAGCCTTTGTCTAAACACTTGAAAAGAACAATTTGTATAAACTTCCATGTTTCTATTTTTAAGATTTTGCTTAAAGGAAAAACAAAAGATTTTGCTATGAAGTCTTTGAGTGAAATTCAATAAACAGAAAATAAATTACCCCTCATTGAACAAAAAAAGGAAAATGAATAGCTTCTGAATCAATTATATATTTCAGAGAACTTGAAAATTAAATATAACATAATGCTATTAAATGTGCACTTCAGATACAATTTTTTTAATTTTCAATTATCTTTAAATGGTTGTTCAAAAGGATTTCAAGTGAGCATGCCAATTTGTATGTACAAAACATCTTGATCAGTGTCATCCCTTTTATCATTCTTACCCTATTCCAACCCAACCCAATACACATTTAAGCCTGAAAATAACTTCCTATAATACAACTACACAATCACTACTGCAATTTAAAATAATATATTTATGTAATTCTCACTTTCAAACAAAATATACCTTATTCTGTCCTTGCAGAATCTAACTGATGCATTTTAATACCTTATTCTTGTAATAATTAACCAATAAATTCCAGTTCTATTCACCCATAAATAAATATAAAAGCTACTTTACCTGTTCCAGAATGCAACGTATGAAGTAGTAGGAATCGTAGAAACCCAGCAAACATAACAGCAGTATTGGAAGGGTTAAATAATTGCTACTGATATCAAAACTCTAAATTCCGACTAGTAACAGCAGCAAATTCACAACACAGTAAACAAAAAATCCATCAAAATACAAAATTTTAAATAACATTTCCTGTGGCCCTTGCATTCTCAATCAAACTCAAGAATGTCTGCAGTGTCCAACATTATACAATGGTGACACTAAAAAGACCATAAGTGCTGCTGTCATCAAAACAGAACTCTGCAGTGTACAGATCCTCACTGACTACAGCATTCATCTCTGCCGCTCTGTGCTGTACTGAGTGATTCTCAATGTAGCAAACACCAAAGCTCAACTAGCCACGCAATTAAGTATTTCCTAAAACAATGCACAATACTGCTGCCTTCCTGCAGCCAGAGGAAATGCTGTGGCCCCTGTACGCTAGCACAGAAGACAAGACTCCGGCAGCTCTTCCTATTATTCTCCCAAGGAATTTCACTGCAGCATCCATGGGCTAGGAAGATAAAGTTGAGCAGCCCCCTGCAGCTGATATGTGGACCCCAGAAAACTCACCTAGAATGATTTGTTCCCATTATCAATCCCTGGCGATGGTCCTGCCCTGCCCTGCAAAACAGATCATTCCCTCTGCAGTTTTCCTAACTGAGGAATTTCCCTCAGCCCAATGGCAACAACTGGCTCTAGGACGCAGAAGCTAGGAGTCCAGGAGTGATTGTTGGGAACACATGCAAAAAGTGCTTGTTGAGGCTGTTCTGCTCTGGCCAGCCTAGTGCTAATGGTGGCTCATTGCCAGGGGTCAAAAGGACATCACCATATAGTTTTCTCCAGGGAGCTGACAAGAGGAGAACAATCATATTTCTGAGATTTTTAATATAGATTTGGAAAGATGTATGTCTGATTAATCCATAGTATAACAGACTTTTCTTACTAAGTCACAGAATAATTGTTCTCTCATTGGATCACCTATAGTTATCCACTCTACATCTTGTATTACAGAATAACAGCAATATTCACAACAATTATTAGTGGATTTGAAATGTTGTTACATCCATGAGCACATTTTTTTTTTGTGTGGTAGGTCACTCAGTTTCTAGAAAAATCAGCAAAGCATGATGCACCCTTCTAATCCACTGTGGATTACTTACTGAGAGGAAGACAGTTTCTGCTTTGCTTCCAAATACAGACTGGTCAAATGATGACAAAGGAAGAATTAGTCCCATCTATCATTAATTTAAAATAAGTGGACTATGTTGACTTAAATTATACATACTTGTCTAAAATAATTACCTAGTAAGGAAAATTAACACTGAACTATATATCATATTGTCTTCATGAAGAGCAACTGGAAAATATCAGTTTCAAATGAATTTAAATATTTTCCTCTCTTAACTGTGATGGAAGGGGTAACATTAATGCATTGTACTCATGAATTGACCAGTTGAATTAATACCCCTTTGTACAACTGTACAACTACTTAAAAATAACATATATAATATATGTTTGTATGTGTATATATACATATATATGTTTCTTTTTTAAATTTTATTTTATTGTAAAAATGCTGTACAGAGGGGTTACAGTTACATGAGGAAGGTAGTGAGTACATTTCCCATTGAGCATTGTTACTCCTTCCCTTGTTCTCCCACTATCCCTCCCCTTTCTATTTAGAGTTTCCCCCAAACTTTCATGTATGCTATAAACTGAAGCAGGTTATATACCAAAATATGTGGTCAGTCTACCAATTTCAACAAAATCAGTGTGACTTCTTTATGACAGAGGAGACTCAGAACAGCTAATTTACTTCCTCAAGGTTACATGGTTCATTAGAAGCAGAGTTGGAAATTGAACTTGGCTTTGTCTGATCTGAAAGCTCCATACACGAGTTAGTTTTTTCCAGTATGCTATGGTCATTAGTATAATTATTGTGTGGTTATCCTCCAGGTTGTGCCCGTCTGGGTGAAAATGTTAGTGACTTGGTGGGGGAATTTTAGTGATACAGATGGGGATGGCAATCGTAGAACTATATTCTCCAAAGTCGCTCATGGAGCTGAGGGCTACACTTGCTAAGCATGTATTTCTCATCAGGGCATGGTCATAAAGAACACATAGTAATGACATGATTTAGAGACAGCGACATGCTACTATACAGCCACAACACAAAAGAATAAATGGAAGTAGAGTCAAACTTGCAAGGACTGGTTTATGCAAATCTGCTAACTGAAATCTCTACCATAGAATTTTCTCTGACTGAAATTGAAGAAAGTATGGGTCTTATAGTCCTATGCAGGCTCAAATCAACTGTAAGCACTGAACATAGTTATTATCATGCATAGGCTTTAAGAATTTTCTCTTTTAGATTTCTTTTCTCCTCTATTCTTCCCATGTACCACCTGGTATGGAAAAATTTTAAAGTATACAACCAGTTGGAATGGTATTTATCTAATAGTTATCTCCCCCTCCATCTCATAAATTTATATTAATTTGACATAATTACCTTAAATTCGTTAAGATGTCCTGACATTAGGAAAGTTGTCACTAGTAATAAATTGCATTTCTGACAGAAAACCTTAATAAACCATTCCATCTCTGCTTTCAAAATTACAGAATAAAACCCAAGACTCATACTTGGAAGAAGCTATGGTAGATCTTTTTATAAAATGTCCTCTTACATATTTCTAAATGCCATATGCAATGAGATCTCATATGGGTAACAAATTTCCTTCCCTCATGCCACTGTGACCATTCCAAGTACAAAAAGTTCTTCTGTTTTCATTTCAGCAATTCAGAAATGTATGCTAACAATATCTACTTATTTCAAGTATTTCTTATTGAAAGTAATTCTGTCAAGCTTGAGCCACATGCATCCCTTGTGAATTACATTACAATCTCACATTCAGCTGTAAAATCCATGGCCACTCTAAAGAGCCCCTGGATTGATTTCCCTTAGGAGAAAACACATAAAACCTAACATCAATTGTGATTTTGAGCTTTGTCACATATACCACTTGACCTTGTTATACCACAGGCTAGGTCAAGGCCTATGTTTGTGGATATTTTCAGTTCTTTCCTCCAAACCTCAGATCCACTATTTTGAAGAGGTGCCATAGACTTCCTACTTTTAAACTGATTGCCACTAATGATGACTCGGGTTTGTCACGTATTTCTCATTGTTAGTAATAGTGTAAGATAGGAAAGCAGAAAATACACTGAATACAAAACAAAACCCATGCACAATTAAACAACTTATTATTCTTTCCCTTCTTTTCACAAAACATTCACTTTCAAATCTATAAATCTTTCTTTACTTGAGGATTACATGAGAATGTAAATCATAAATGTGATTCATCATTTTTCAGTAATGGGCTACCTTGTAAAGTATATAATCTTATTTCATAAAAACAAACCAAATCCCTCCTCACCTATCACAAAGAAGAAGATGAGTTAGACTGGAAAAAAAAAGACATGAAGAAGTCTGTATATAATCAAAGAGAAAAATGAGGCAAGATTAGCAACATCCAAATAACCAACATCTGTTCCTTACCCGCACCTGCTGGTCGGCCCTCCATTGTGCTCACTTCAGAATCCACAGTCCTGACTTGTTGCCACCCTTCTGAAGAAACGGGTATTCCAGGTGCTCCCATGGCAGCCACCTTGTAAAATCAGTCCAGTCTGAGAATTTTCAGCCTGGCTGTGTACACTACTCTCTGCTGCTAAAGGTCTTATCTAAGAAGAGCAGGAAGTGGCTCCTCCATCACTCCGCTTGGGAAATAGACATGGAAGGAAAACATGAGTATAAGCGTGACAGTCCCTTGCTTGGGTGACTCCAGTCACCTGCAGGTACTGTGCAGCCACCCGCAGGCCTGCACGAGCAAAATGCCATGCTCAGGTGTCAGTGGCCTGGCAGTGTGGAGGCTGGTAGCATTTACTGAGGAGAAGCATATTGGCACCTCGGTTGGGTTTTAACCAGATCCACAGGGTTCAGGAAATAAGCTTTCTGCCAGCTGACACTATGCTCCTAACCATTCCTTTTGTTTACTTACTGCCCAAATTGCTCTAACTAGTGTCCTTTATCCTGCTGGGAGCTTATTTGTGGAGAGGGCTAAATAAAGGAGTTTTATGACAATGAAATGGCCTTTAGCCCACAGGATGGGTTCTGGAAACATGATTCTCTTATTTTTGTTTGGTGCTATTAAAATTAATTTAAGGAGAGCATTGCTGACTGTTACATCTTTTTTTTGGGGGGGTGGGGTCTGGTCGTGGGGCCTGAACTCTGGGTCTGGGCACTGTCCCTCAGCTCTTCAGCTCAAGGCTAGTGCTCTACCACTTGAGCCACGGCGCCACTTCCGGCTTTTTTCTTTTTGCTTATGTGGTGCTGGGGAATCGAACCCAGGGCCTCAGGCATGCAAGGCAAGCGCTCTACCACTGAGCCACCATCCCAGCGATTGGTAAAATAAAATACATTTTGAACATTCCAGAAGTATGAGAAATCAGCCTGTGGTTGTCTAACATACTGTTGGTAATACAGTGTATGCACAGTATTTATTTTATACATAACCTTCTTAACACAGGTTCTTCTTGTTGTATTTTCCTATCAAAAGCAACTTTTGAATGTTTCCTTCTGCCAGTTCTTCCTACTATATGTTATATGGTGCAACATCTCCACAATGTAAAGATTTGTTTCATTGGAGAGATGGTGTGCATATTCCCACTTCATGAGACAATAATTGTTTTCTATTTTCTTTACCATAACTGTACATATCACATATACAAACAGGTATGTCTGATCTCATTTCTTCCTTCTGGTAATCATTCCTTCTTTGGATTTGGATTTAAGAAGTAGGCAAGACAGAGTATTAATAAGATCAACTTTTTGTGTGTTTGCAGGGGCTTGAATTTAGGGCCTTGCATGCTCTTTTAGCTTTTTCTTTCAAGGCGGGCACTCTACAAATTAAGCCACATTTCTGCTTCTTTTGCTGGTTAATTGAAGGTAACAGTCTCACAGACACTGTTGCCCAGGTCCCCTTAGAACCCTCAATCTTCCTATCTCAACCACCTAAGAAGCTGGGATTACAGATGAAAGCATTAGCTCCAGGCTGACAACTTTTTATAGAAAGTTTTTATTTATGGAAAATATGCTAAGACTTGCTTTATTCTGGAAATTAAACTTCTAAGTAAGTAATATGAGGAATCTGCTTCAAGAAACTTTCATTTTCAAATAAAATATTAGTTCAAATATGTCATAAAATCCACCACAATCAAATGCCAGTGCTTTTAATGTTGAAAGATTAAGTACATGTACCTTAAAATTCCTATTTTCACCCATAATACTAATAATTACATATGCAATGTTTGAGTTTCAAATTGCAAAGCTCTTCCAGATACATTTGAAATAATTATTATTGAGTAAGAGTCTTGGTTGGTCCCCATACT